ATTCAGTGTAATTCCACATGATGCAATTAAAAGTAACAGAAGGAAGAAAATATTTCTATACATAGGAGGCTTCTGGTTAAGACTGTGGCATAGGACACCTGCACTGCAGTTTGGGAATAACAGTGCACTTTAAATGGAATAACTGCAGGAACAGATGCTCACACATTAAGCTCTCAGCCTTACATACAGCTAAAGTTTACTTTCAGGCTTGGGAAGTTTATTTTCAGGCCTGTAGGGAATCTCAATGGGATATGTGACAAGTGGTCACCTTGCAGGAAGCAGGATAAATTTACATTTTACTTCTATTAATTCCAGGTGATTTCTTTTCTCTTTTTTTTTTTTTTTCCCCTTTTGAATGTGAAATGGAAGCTGGTGCAATGATAATAGAGGATACCAGGCTGAAAACTCTGAAAACAAAACACTTCTGTTTATCAAGTGTCTTAATGTTCCTCACTCGTGGAGATGTGCCCATCTGTGGGAGTGAATTTTCCTTCACAGGTTTTTTTTTCTTCTCTGATTTCTGTTTATGACTAACCAGGAATGCACTTTGGATTTGCCTTTCTGCTCTCTTTTGCTCATTGGAATTGGAAAATAGTCATATAAACTAATCCCATGGATACTTCTGTGCATGTAGATGATATTCAACTGGTTTAGTTTTGAGCCACTGTTTTCAGACATAGTGTCAGTTCAAATTTTGTATTCTGGTCTTTGGATTGTTCTAGATTAATCTGATGGATTTCACAGTGATTTAGGACTGACTTATGCAGTTTTGTTGGTAGCTTCACAAACCATAACTTTTCTCAAATAGCCAAGGAAAAGGTCAATGACTTCCACAGTAAGTGAGAAGTATTTGATTAGATAGCTAAATATTTCCCTTACTCTGAGCATTTGGAAACAAGAAAATATATCAATATCGAGTATGAGAATAAACCAATGTAAAATAACTTAAATTACAAGCATATGAGGAGAAGATAATTAGTGCAGCAAACTTCTAAATGAACTTGGGCTGTTAGCAAATGAAAATTTGCTGAAGAAATTAACAGTCCTGTAATGATAATAACCGCTAGGGACCTTTTCCATTTGCTTCCCTAGGAATGGTTGACTGCATCAGCATGCAGTGTGCTAGTCCTCACCCAGGTCCCATGTCCCCAGAGAGAACTGTCAAAACAGAGTCCTGGGTTGCTGTTGGATTTTGGAAAACTAAACAAAGGAGATGGAACTTGCATTTTAGGTTTCCAGAATGACGGCTTGGAGAAAATGATCTCACCAAAGTTTTGCTTGTAGCTGAAGCCCTCCCATTTTTCAGAATGTGCTGTGGATTTGCACTGGACAATAAAACTTCTTTCCCTCTTCCACATTGCTAATATGGAGATGTATCTATATTGTTATCTGCCTTGCTACCTCTGGTTTTGTCCAAAGTTACAGCAATTAATAATGAAAAAGGGAGAGGTTTCAACCACATGTACACTTGTAGCTCCGTGTTTTCTTTAAGCTGATATACTGCCCTCAGGAAAAGGAATATGAAATAACAGGGAAAGTCTCTTGTAAAAGAAATCTCTTTCACTGAAGGGAAAAAAACTTAGAACAACTCACAAATGCAAGAGACTGCTGCTGAAAGTAAAGCTGCCAAAATTTTATTTAAAAATCTGATATCTTATAACCTTATATATGATATCAGATCTTGTACACTTTGTATACCTTATAACATTACAATTTATTGTATCTTTATAATTACAAATATTAGTACCATTAGGATAAGACAGGAGTTTGAGGCAGAGTTCAGGGACAGGGATGTGAAATAAAACCAGCCATAATTTCTTGACAGTGTTTTTCCAGTGAAATGGTGTGCACTGCCTCAAACTATTGCTGTACCAATTAATGTGTTTTGTAAAACATTCTGACATACTCCAAAAATCTGGAAGTCAGGAGGGTTATAGATATCTCATATTAAAACATTTTGCAGATGTTGCTGACAAAATTAAATATTCTTTCCCGTTTCTGAAAAGTGTTTGTAGGTGCTTTAATTAGATCATATTTTTCCCTGAGAATTTAATTTCCTTTAAGACTTCTGTTCTACATAGTTAGATATATTCTGCAGGCCATTAAAATATCTAGCAGTTAAGACAGATTATGAGCTTCTATTCTTAGAATGACTGGAGTAAATGTACACTTTGCCATCTTCTCTTAACCTGAATTATGGCAAGTACTTATTTTTGTTCTGGGGTCATTGCTCATCATTGGTTCCATCACCTCAGCCCTGTGATATGTGGAATCAAACAGATAAATAACAAGTGTATATTTAGTTAAGATACTAATAAAAATTTCATCTCCTTTAGATGAGCAACTCATCCTGCATCTCAGTTTCAGTTTCTTGTAGTGAGTGCTGTCAGGCTTTCAGCTCTCTCAGCTTTTATTTCCTTCTTTCCCTGAAAACAAAACCCAGCAAACTGACCTCAGAACAAATACAGAAGAGTTAAACTACTGTGATGCTACAACCAGGCTTGTTCCAGATTTTTAAGTCTTGAAGTATTGCTAAGCATTAAGATTTAGCTTTGTCAGTCCTTTCTCCATTCCAGTGTAGATTTTAGTTTTATCCTAGGCTCTCAATAGCCTTTACACACAGTAGTTTGTGTTTTTTCTTAACACCCTCGATGTGCTAAACAGCATTTGTTCTGTAAGACCCCTCTCACCTTCACTGAATGGCACTTACAGTGCAGCACTGCTTTTGTTTTGTAAGGCCCACAAACCATTCTGAGGCACAAACCTATTTGTTGTCACATTCTGTGCCTGCGTTTAAAATGTGCAGAGTTTTCTCTATATTTCATTCCATAAGTATTTTTGCTGCCTTGGAGCTCATCCCTGAGAGTGAATCTGCATGAATTTGCAACCAGCAAAAATAGAGTTCAGTGTTTTTGAAAAGAATACAAAAGTATCAAAGGGACCTGGTGCCTGGATTGCAATACAGGCTTTCCATTACAAGTGAAATTTCTTGGAGAGGAATAGGGACAGCGTCATTTTAACTTGAACATCTTCCTTAGAGATTTTAGCAGTGTGTTATTTCTCTGCTTAGATCACAGTTTCCTCAGACAAAGTACCATAAAGTTGAATTTATAGGATATTTCAGTCCAATTGTTTTGGGTTTTGTTCAGTAGTCATTAAAGTTAACATACTTGCAGGCTTTCATTTAATGTGAGAAGCACTTATGGATATTTTGTTAAGTTAAAAGCTTGATTTGTCACTGTATTCTAACATTTATTTTCTACTTTAGTTTTTATTTTGTTGAAATTCAAATGTGTAGTAGAGGAACTTCTTTTGTGATGTGGTGAATTTTTTCTTCTGTGAAAGAGCTACTATATAAAAAAAACACTGAGGATATCTAAGTAGTATTGTAACCTCATGTTGATAACTAGAATTTATTTTTAAATATGGAATTTTCTGTAGCTGCAGTGGTCAGAAAGATGTTATGGTGCCTAGGAACAGTAACATACATTATTTCCACTGAAGCTTCTTTGTAATCTTTTTGTCTGCTTTTTCAGCTTTGAGGTGGGGTCTTTCTGGAGTTCTTCTTGTTTGGCTGCAGCATTTGATTTGGAAAGGCTTGGAATCCTTTTCCAATTTCCTTTTTTAGGTCATGGATGAAGATGTTGACAAAAACCAGTACCTAGGGAATGTCTCTGACTTGGCCTCACCCTGCACAGCAGTGGTTAAGCATTATTATTATTATTATTATTTGCTTCTGTTCCTTGGATTAGCACTCAGTCCAGAAATGGCTGTTTCCTCCAGTCTAGTGGAACTTTTCTTTTTTAATAACATTTGAAATTGCAGCTGTGCTATGTTCATGGACCCCCTTCACTCACATGGCCATGGAGTTTTCAGGACTAGCAGAGTTTCCCTCACAGAAACCATCTTTCACAATACACTGTGTTTATGAATTTGCTCTGTTATTTTATTTTATTTTATCATACATGCTATCTTGCTAGAGATGAAATTCAAACTTGCCAGGCTGTCTGAATCCCTTGTAGACATTTCACGCTTCTGAAATGGAGTTTCTTGGGGAAAGATCAGTCCTTTGGCAGGGTGACTGTGATGACAGTTTGTATAGCAAGGGGAAAAGCACAAAATATGGTATTACATTGAAAAAGCAATAAATCTTAGTTATTTTGGAAGGGGTGGTCATTTGTGTATTTCCTGAGTTTTCAGATTTAAATGATGATGAACTCAAAGTCTATGTGCTGCCTCAGTGGACTTTGTCCCTCGAGCTGACTTAAATCAGTCATCTCTGTATTTTTTTATTTCTTATTCTGCAAACCATTTGGAGGAAAAGAGGAAGTCCAGTGTGAATGTCCATCATTTTTGAGATTGCTCTGAGAAGTATTTATGAGAAATTCCTCATTAGAACACAGAAATCCAGAAGAATCTGTATTTGACTGTAGATTTATTTTACTGCTCTTGGAAGTTTGTCAGTCTTTGTTACCCTTCACCATATTTCTTTCTTATCATTTAAGGAAAGTACAAAACTTTTCATATTTCTGTCTCCCTTGTTAATTTCAGAAAGACAAAACTGAAAAATAATAAACAAAAAAAACCCAAACAAAAAACAACCAACCAACCAACCAAAAAACAAACCCCAGAATAAAGTCACCAAAAAAACCCCACAAAAAAAGAAAAAACACACAAACAAAAAAACCCACAAAAAAACCCAACAAACAAACAAACAAACAAACAAACAAAACAACCAGAGAAAACCCCAAACAAACAAAAAGCAAAAAACAAACCCCCCAAGCCCCTCAGTACTTCTCCTTAAAAGCTTCTGTTGTGTCTGTACACCAGGCAAGGAAGCTTATTTAGGATTACATTCTTTTCCAGTCTATTCACTTTTGAGCTCTCTCCCTGGGGAAGCTTAGCCTCAGGCATTTATGACACTGATACTGTGCTATGTGACATAGGGGAATTTCCCCCCCCTAACATTAATCCAGCTCTTAGGATACAGGAGCCTGGAGTTTGCAGCAGTGCCTCATCCCTTGGCGGTTCTGGAGTTCACTTTTGGGAACTTCTAGGTGTAGGAGCATTGTAGGTCTGTACAAAACCTCTGGAGCTGTGCTTTCTGTGCAGTTTGGGCAGCCTCCAGCCCTCCTCCAGGTGATGTGGTTCAATCTGTTAGAATCAAATGCCTCTTTCATCGTTGTGCTCTTAGTAATCCTCTGGTGCAGGAACGTTTGAACATTAAATGGTGATCTATGCTCTCATGCTTCCATCACACAAATAACAAAATCTGTTGAAATACCTGGAAGTTGGCCAAAATTGCTTTGCAGTAGCCTTGTAATGGAAAGGAAAAAAAGGTAAAATTTCTGTATTAGAATATATAAAGTATAAAATTTTCTTTCATAAGTCAATTTTTCTTAGCTTTTACAAAGCGTTATTTCATTGTTTTTATGTAAGAGACTAGATATAGATGATATAGATATAGGTATAGAAATAGATATAAATATAGATTATATAGATATAGATATAGATTTGGCAGAAGATGTTTAAAAGTTTCTAAGTATGAAAGTATTCCATATTCTTGAAGCAGAACCATGCCTGTGGCTGTGCCCAGGTTGTGTGCACGGGCCATACTCAAGGGCACTGTCTCAGAAGCATTCAACTTAGAAAAAACTTTAAAAAAATATATAATCACAGAAAATACTTGAGTTTTCATTGGTGTTAGAGAAATGAAAAAACAGTCCCTGGAGGGCTCTGCTATTCAAACTGAGCACTCAGTGAATATTGAGCATGTAATTAAATCCTACACTTGTATCAGTTGCCTGGACTTCAATGTGTTCAGGCAAGATCTCACCTGCTGATGTCAGAAATGTTCCCAAACAAGAAGATTTTATTGGACTATTCTGATCTTGAGTCTCTTGATGGAAAAGCAGATGTCAAGTTCTTTCTTGATGCACAATGGTCTAAAAGGAAGGAGGTAATACTTGGATATTTCACAATAAACAAAGCCCTTTAAAGCTTTTTCTCAGGAGTGGTTCACAATCTGTGAGTGTTGATCCTGTTGATCTCTACTAGTGAGCCTTCAAAACCACAGAAAGAAGTTATATGCCTCCTAAATGTTATTTTCTTTCAAATCTTAGAGTTAACTTCAAAAAAATCTGAGCTTTTCATCACAGATAATTTCAAAAGGGCTCTTTGGTTCAAGTGCCCATTGAAGTCATTGCAAGTTTTATTGGTCTGTACAGTGAGGAAGGCTTGCAGGTTAAACATTTAGTTTAAGCTTAGCTGGGCTTGACATTTCTGCTGTATTGCAGAGAAGCACATCAAATTTGAAAAGCAAACAGTGCTGGGGCTGCGCTGAATCATGTTCTTTTGTGTTATATAACATACAAACCTGGAACTCCATGGGAACCTCAGCCTGTGGTCCCTGTTTTACTTCAGAACTTTACAAATTGCAAAAACCCTTCCATTCAGGGTTTGGTTTTGTTGGTTTTGTTTTTGTTTTTTTTATGGCAGATGTAGGAAAGAAAGGCTTGCTATCTCTGGAACTATTTCTCCTCCTTTGTAAAAGCTTGCGGAGCCACTGATCATGGCATTTGAACACAGAATTATTAGGCAATTCTCTCAGTAACAGCCTTAGTGAAAATCATGGGGTTTACCTTTTATAAATGGAGATTTCACTATAAATATAGGTGAGTGAAGTAAGAACATCCAAAGCAGTATTAAGAAAAGGATGATCTTTCATTTCTTATCTACTCCCATCTGCTAGGAATTCCATAATTCTCATTTCTCTGATTCTTTAACCTATCAAAGTGTAAACTGGTGAGTAATTCAGCCTGGAAAAGCATGTGTGATATTTGAAATAGTACTCAAGCTAGTTTCCTAGGGGGCTTTTCCTCCTACAGCTGATATTTGTGCCTGTTGTTTTAACTGTATTTTTAAATATTTAAAACTTATGTAATCATTATAGTGGTGCAGAAAACAATGTGTCCTTACAGATGGCTGCTCAGGTGCTGCTGCCACCACTAAAATGGTAAATCTGATGGTATTGTCAACAAGGCAGCTGTCAGTACCAGGACAAAATAATTCCTCTTTCCAATGGCACGGTCTCCACATGCAGTGTTAACTGGGGATGTTAAAACAGATTTGTCAACAAACTGGAACATCATTTAAAATGAGGACAACATGCTAGCAACACCTTTTGTCCTGAGTGAGCTATATTATGAGATTAATCCAATTTATATTCTACTGAGTACACTGTGCATGGATAAGAGTAAATAAAGTGCAATTCAGTCTTTAAAATATCGCATCTTGAAGAAAAACCGATATCATTTAAAGTTTCAACTTAAACTCTCTCTTCTACAAATACTGGTTGAGCTGGAAATGTCCAAGGCTGGTTGAGCTGGAAATGCCCAAGACTTCCTAATTCTTTGATTACAGAATTTTCTCTCATTTGTTTACCATGCTTTTTAGTTCTTCCTCATGTTTCTCAAAGGAACAGGTATGTAAATACCTAAGCTCAGTAATAACTTCTTTTCCTTGCATTTTGAAGTGACTATGGGTAATTCATTCCATCCTGTTACATCCTGAAACTTAAATGCCTTTTTTAATGTCTGTAAAAAGCAATTATAAAGCTGGTAACTTTGAACTATTGAACTGCATGCCCCAGTGCTGTTGGCAATACTAAAAATGGGAATATTAGATTAAATTTTTTCAAGCAGAAAGTTCTAATAACTCAAGTAATAATATTCATTAACTTCTATTTACACCATTTTAATCTGAATCCACATTGTATGTTTGTTTTATTTTCTCCCGGAAAACCATTAAAGCCTCAGCTAAACGCCTGTTTCACACTCTCTGCTAATTCAGAGCTGGTAAAATTGTGGCTGAATTATCAAAGGGCGGCCAGCACCGCACGGTTTAATTGGAAGGAGTGGGGCAGAGAGTCATTGCTGGGGTGGGGTGGGCTGGCCATGACAAGGCCGTGCTCTGTCACTGCACAGGGCTGTGGGCACGGGGTGCAGCCCCCGAGAGGATGGAGGGAGGAGGAATCTGAGCCTGGGGTTGTGAAGGAGGAGATGAGAGGCCCTTCAGTTACCTGGAGATGTTTGCCCCAGCTCCCCTGGGAGTTTGGGAGTCTGTGACCAGTCTCGTTTCTGTTTGGTGCAAAGTGCTCAGATCTGTCCTGGAATGAGTTAAAACCTTTCTGACTGCCAAGGCTTTGGGCATGGTGCCTGGCAGGAAAGTCTCTCTGCTCAGGAACTGATAACGGTGCAGGATTTGCAGAAGAGAAGACAAAAGACTTAAATGCTGCTTTCTTGGCATCCTTTAAGAGAAAACAGCGGGGGAAGAAGAGCAGCGCTGCAGATGTGAGCAGAGATAGGGGTATCCAGGTTAAACCTGCAGCTCCTTTATTAGCACAGGCGTGCAGAGGCTGATATGTATATATTGTATAGCTGCATGAAAAGAGTGAGTACCGTGGTACTGAGATGTGATCTTATTAATTTGATGTTCTTAATAGGTTTGTTAGAAAAAGGCTCCTGCTTTTGCTTGGCTACTTAGCACCAGTATTGTCATGGCTTAGGTTGCTCGCAGTAATGGAGATTCATGTGGGATAAAGTAAATGAAGCTGCTTCTCATTGCCATTATCATTATTAAAAAGGCTTTTCACTGATCCTGCTATCGGTGCCACAGATCAGCACATGCCTAAAAAGCAATCAAAGTGCAATGTCCTGGAGTACGTGTCTGACCAAAGCACTCTTCTATTAACCGCTAATCAAAAAAATAAAAATGTTTGGAATTGTCAATAGTAAGACTCCTGCTTTAATAATGGTATTATAACTTTCTGTGATTTTTTTTTCCCCCTCACTCTTTTTTGAATTTCTTTTTCTCCTGGCTTTAGTGAATATAGCTGCTGTAATTACAGCTACAGCCATTTCACTTGCTAGCTGTGCTTATTCTGGTTCCAACGGTCTCACAGATTTCTTGCCCACAAGGAGTGGCTTGAAAAGATTCCTTCAGATGATATCATTGTCTTGCTTTTCTGCATCACAGGCTGCATTTTTTTAATCAGACATGATGACACTGATAGGTGCAATCTTTTGATTTAGGTGGTGCCATTTAAAAAACAAAAAATCACCTAGCCAGAGCCTAGCCCTTTTTCTTTGTGTGTGTGTGCCTGTTCACTCAGATGACAATGCCTCTTTTAATGTGAAAGGTTTCTGAGCTGTCCCGTTTATTGTCATATTTCTACTCATTCATTGGATGTTGTAGTAAAAACTTGCATGTTTCCATTTTGTAGCATGCAGCACTATTTCTGTGTCCTGTAATGTACAGTTCCTGAGCAACTGCTGCATGGGTGGCTTTGCTACCTCCTACTGCACTTCTAATGCTGTGTGCTGTTCTACATTTCTGGGTATGTGAGCTTGCTGACCACTTGTCTGACTCACATGTGCTCATCAAGGGCTGGTAGATACTTGTGGTTTTGTTTGATGCCTGATCAGTTCTTATTTTTCATGATTTTTGCTTTGGGTTCAGCCCCACTGAGATTTCATCTTTCACTGTCATCTCCATCTGTGAAAATAGTATTTTCCTGTCAAACATGCCCAGGTTACTCACCCATTCATTGCCTCAGGGAGTCCCTGTTTTCCTTTTTAGACTTTATTTTTTTGGTTGTTTTTTTCCCCGTGGAGGTACTTTACTTTGGGAAGCAATAGGTTTCAACCAGCTCTCCAGCTTTCTGTTTTTTTACCCATTGCTGGAAAATAAACATCTGTCTGGCTGCAGCCTCTCCACCTGGATCTGCGCTGCCAGTCACCAAGTTCTGCATTACAACAAAGTTCCATATTTCAAGCTAGATGAATAGCAGATTTCTTGACTTATTACTCAAACCATCACAGGATTTTGACCAGTTGCTTTTGTTCTTTAACACCATTTTATTTTCATAAAATAGACTGTTAGCAGTAACAGAAATAGAATCAAAAGAGAAGAAATCTCAGACCTTGGGATTCAAGCCTGAGATTTCTCTAAGTAGCTTTGCTAAGGAGGAACAATCATTTATTTTTATACCTGTTCTTTACAGACACTGCATCCTGCTGTGCATAGCTATTATGTGATAGTCACAAATAAGTCAGGGAAGGAAATTCTTGTAGCTTGTCTTAAGGACAGCCTGGATCAAACCTTATTTTTCTTTCAAAACGTAAGCAGAAGGGTTATGTGATGATGTGACAGCAAAAGTGACGTCTGAAAATTGTCATGGTAGACAATTGAATTGAAACAGTTGAATTGAAACACAAATATTTAAGACTGTTTCATGCATCCGTACAAATATCTTCCTCTCTGACTGCAAAACCATAGT